CGCGGAGATAGGCGCCGTAAGGAGCGCGTAGATCTAAAGGACTACGACAGTGGCTCAGGCGAGGTGCCTGCCAGGGGTAAACGGAGGGGGAAAAAACGGAAGATTACTAGAGAGGAAACTGCAGAAGCGGTCCGTGAATACCGGAAAGCAAACAAGCTTTCGGTGAAGAAGGGCGACGGGCTGGAAAGTGACGCCAACTCTTCCGACCCGGATGGCGACGATGATGCCCTAGACGACCCTTACGGGGACGTCGCGCCGGGCGGGCTTCGTAGCCCAATGAAAAGGTCGGCTCAGCGGAAGAAACCGATAGGTGATCTTGTCGGCACCCCCGGTGAGCTACTTGTCTTCCATGCTCCACCCGCCAGGTGGCGGTTTTTTTGTGCCTTCGTATTTAACATTCCCTGACATTGCGCGTTGCCGGGCCGCCATGCAGGGAATGATGGACCGCCGCACGCCCCCAAGAAGCCCAAGGCAGAGACGAAAAAAGAACGGGCCGTAAGGTAAAAGGCCGAGAGAAACGCAGCGAAGGCCACTGCAGCAGCAGTAGAGGGGTCTGCAGCGGATGCAGAGGAGGATGCAGCGGTAGCAGAGGAGGATGCGGCGGTAGCAGACAAGGATGCGGCGGTAGCAGACAGGGATGCGGCGGTAGCAGAGGAGGATGCAGCGCTAGCAGAGGAGGATACAAAGGCAGCAAAAGTGGTCGCAGCCCCAGAGGCCGGCACCCCTCCGGCGAAGGCGGACGCGAGCGCCGCTCCCATTCCCGCAGCTGCCGCACCGACGCGGAACCGCGTCGTGATGAGCGCCGCAATGAACGCCGATTGTCCACCCACGACCGCAGCAGACGCGCCTCAGGCGGTTGAGGAAGTGGCGATGGTCGTCGTGGAGTCCCCTGCTAGCGCCATGCCGCCGTCGCACGATGATTCCCCTAACGGTGAAACTGTCGCAAACAATGTGGCGGAGTCGGATCGCGAGGCCCTCGCAGGCCGCTGCTGCGGCCCCCGTCTTGAAGACTCCCGCTCGTGTGGAAGGCCGCGCGACCGTGGCCGCGACGACCAGCCCAGAGAAACCGTCAAACAAGGACAAGGACGGCGAATGGGAGCGTCGCGATGGAGACACCCGTCGAGCGAAGAGCGACGCCATTGCCCCATCACCTGAACGCCGCGAAAGAGGCCGCGTCCGCGAGACGAAACGGAAAAAGCGCGAAGACTCTCCCGAGGAATCAGACTCGCCGTCCTCTTCCAGCGACTCTGACTCGGGGAGTCCTCGGCGTCAGAGTCCAACTACGACGGTCGGAGCACTGAAAGCAGCGAGCCTGAGTCCCTCGAGAGCGAGTCTGACGGCGACCGCAAGCGCGGCAAAAAGCGCGGCAGGGACAGGCGCGTCGGACGGCACAACGGTGGGAAGGATAAGGGGAGGGGGAGTAATGGCAAGAGGAAGAAAGGGGCGAGCAGAGGGAAGCAAGGACGTGGCGACATGAGGAAGCAAGGGAGAGGAGGGAGGACGGAGGGCCTAGGGCTAGGCCCGCCAAGCATGGGTATGCTCCGTACCCGGCTGGCAGCGACGATTTCGAGAGCGGCTCTGCGTCTGAAGGTCCGGTGCTCATTCGGCGGACAGATTACCGCGACAAAGTTTCCGGCGTATGCAACCGACAAGGCGTTTCAGGCGTTGACCATGTCCTGTCACACACCCATGGCCTGTCACACACCCATGTCCTGTCACACACCCATGGCCCGTCACACACCCATGGCCTGTCACACACCCATGTCCAGTCACACATCCATGCCTGTCACACACCCATGGCCTGTCACACACCCATGTCCTGTCACACACCCATGGCCTGTCACACGTCCATGGCCTGTCACACACCCATGGCCTGTCAGCCACCCATGGCCTGTAACACACCCATGGCCTGTCACACACCCATGGCCTGTCACACACCCATGTCCTGTCACACATCCATGCCCTGTCACACACACATGGCCTGTCACACACCCATGCCCCGTCACACACCCATGGCCTGTCACAAACCCATGGCCTTTCACACACCCATGGCCTGTCACACACCCATGTCTTATCACACACCCATGTCCTGTCACACACCCATGTCCTGTCACACACGCTTTGCCTGTCACCCACATTTGCCTGTCACACACCCATGTCCTATCAGATACCCATGGCCTGTCACACACCCATGGCCTGTCACACACCCATGGTGTCACACATCCATGGCCTCTCACACACACATGGCCTGTCACACACCCATGTCCTGTCACACACCCATGGCCTGTCACACACCCATGGCCTGTTACACACCCATATCCTATCACACACCCATGTCCTGTCACACATCCATGGCCTGTCACACACCCATGTCCTGTCACACACCCATGGCCTGTCACACACCCATGGCCTGTCACACACCCATGGCCTATCACACACCCATGGCCTGTCACACACCCATGTCCTATCACACACCCATGGCCTATCACACACCCATGGCCTATCACACACCCATGGCCTATCACACACCCCATGGCCTATCACACACCCATGGCCTATCACACACCCATGGCCTGTCACACACCCATGGCCTATCACACACCCATGGCCTGTCACACACCCATGTCTTATCACACACCCATGTCCTGTCACACACCCATGTCCTGTCACACACCCATGGTCTGTCACACACCCATGGCCTGTCACACACCCATGGCCTGTTACACACCCATGGCCTGTCACACACCCATGTCCTGTCACACACCCATGGCCTGTCACACACCCATGGCCTGTTACACACCCATATCCTATCACACACCCATGTCCTGTCACACATCCATGGCCTGTCACACACCCATGGCCTGTCACACACCCATGGCCTGTCACACACCCATGGCCTGTCACACACCATGGCATATCACACACCCATGGTTTGTCACACACCCATGTCCTATCACACACCCATGGCCTATCACACACCCATGGCCTATCACACACCCATGGCCTATCACACACCCATGGCCTATCACACACCCATGGCCTATCACACACCCATGGCCTGTCACACACCCATGGCCTATCACACACCCATGTCCTGTCACACACCCATGTCCTGTCACACACCCATTGTCTGTCACACACCCTTGGCGTGTCACACACCCTTGGCCTGTCACACACCCATGTCCTATCACACACCCATGGCCTGTCACACACCCATGGCATGTCACACACCCATGTCCTGTCACACACCCATGGTCTGTCACACACCCATGGTCACACACCCATGTCCTGTCACACACCCATGGCCTGTCACACACCCATGTCCTGTCACACACCCATGGCCTGTCACACACCCATGGCCTGTCACACACCCATGGCCTGTCACACACCCATGGCCTGTCACACACCCATGGCCTGTCACACACCCATGGCCTGTCACACACCCATGGCCGGTCACACACCCATGGCCTGTCACACACCCATGTCCTGTCACACACCCATGTCTTGTCACACACCCATGTCCTGTCCCACACCCATGTCCTGGTGGGCGCACACTACTAGCCTATAAAACACCCATCATGAAACTCTTCCATTATTCAACTTCGCTTTACCCTTCCCCTCTTCCTTCGCCTCTGTCCCGTCACGCCCTTTTGCTTCCCCTGTCGCCCCCTTTCACTCTCCCACCACCCATTTTCGATCTCTCGCGCCCATTTTCCAACCCCACCAATGCATTGCCTTGTACAGAAGCCATCTCCTAGGGAGCTCGCCCACTCCGTCCCTTCTCATGGCGAAATACGGAAAGATACACACAATGGATCATATGCTACATTGACATAGTAATTTCCTCTGTAGATTCGGCCCTTCTTTGGCACGTATGAGGACCGTCACAAAACAAATCGGGCCGGAAGTCACAAAATTGACACTTGGGTGACGCGTCAGTATATCCCCTAGAAAGACAAAAAATATCTTCAAGGGCAGTCCTCGGCATACTGGGAGTTTCATCGGGGAATGAACGCGGACACTCCTCGAGGATTGATTGGCGAATCCAAGCTGTACTGCTGACGATTCGTTTGTGATTACAGTACGCTGTACTCGTTATTGCGCAGTTTAAAGCCCACATTGTGATTGTATAACAATCTTGAATAATGTAAATTACATTTTGACTAAGTCGTATTAATAAACGGAACTTCCATACAATCACAAATATGTATAAGAACCTCTGCATAAGCACGTGTTTACATAAAACAATGTTGCGCCTAAACAAATGCACCTGCTTATTACACGCAATTGGCGCATAGGAAAAAACCGCATTATTCACAGCACATTAGTATCCTTCCTTTCGCCCGTTCTAATTAAACTGAATCGTCAGGCTAGATTTCAATACAGGTCAAACTGTTAGAATACAAGAATGACTAGAAACAAGGGTGAACAAGGGAGATATAGGGTTGGAGTTGTACCCTCTAAGAATACACCCCTATCTAGCCTATAACTTCTACATACAAATATATGTATAAGTTGACACACCTCCTAGGCTAGATAAGGGGTAGTGTTTGTTGTGATATAATGCATACTTAGCATTTCTGTAAGTCGATTATCGGTAGATAGTGTCGAATCCTACTGTAGAATATAAGTCTGTGGGATGACGTCAGCAAATAGCGCTCGTCATGAGGACAGTCGTTTCAGTCACGCGAATAGTCGCGTCTCTTCATTATCATTTAGGGCGCATAGCGCGATAGTGACGAACAGGTACATTAGCGAACAGGTACATTAGCGAACAGGTACTTTCCTAGAGCTATAAAATCCTTGTTATGCCTTTCTATTGTTCACCTTGAGATTTCAACTTTGAGACTTTAAACTTGACTTCAACTGAATTATATACTCAGGTTCATTCTTACAAAGACTTCCACTGTCTTACTTGTCTACCATTCCAGTAAAGATCCTAGGCTAACACTTGAGGTTTTCCAAGTGTTTGTGTTTGCAGATTCTACACTTAGTCTCGTGCAACACCTGTCAAATTATTACATGGTATGAGAGCTATCTGGATTTAAGACTACTGTCAACAATGACTGGGACATCACCAGCACCATCTACCGGATCCAGTTCTGGAACTACTGGAGTACCTGTCTCCACGACCGCCACTGGTCTCTCAGCCTCTGGACCGTTTCCACTGGCTTATGCGCACATCAGTATGCAGCAGCAGAATCCGCCTTCTGTCAGTACTCCAGGTGTTTCATCGACTGCACGTACAGCGCAACAACAACAAACACAGGCAACAGCACAACATCAGGCAACAGCACAGCAACAAGCAACACCACAGCAGTTTTCAACACAGTCAATATCGTCAGCGTTTAGTGGAATGAGCCTTGACGGCTCAAGTTACATGCGTGGAGCTTCAGCTCCAAGTACTGGCTCATTTGCCTTCTCGCCGTTTACGCAGCAGCCGCAGTCGCAGCAGCAGCAGCCCTTTTACATCTTCGGGCGATCACCTGCTCAGCAACAACAACAGCAACAGCAACATCAGCAACAACAGCAACAACTGCAGCATCCACAGCAATTCCAGCAACAGCAACAACCTCAACAACAGGGGATTATTTTTCAACCGCCAAATCTACTTACCAGCACGCAGATCAAGACTACTATACCTTTTAACGGAGTTGAATTTTACTCCTGGAGCTTCGAGTTTGAGCTTCTGGCGCAGTTCGCTGGGCTATGGCCGTTCTTCACCGGCGAGTTTACGTATCCTGTCATGGGAACACAACTGGAGCAACAGAGTTTCCTGCACGCCTCTCTCGGGGCGTATACGGTTCTAGTTCGGAACCTGTCGCCAAAGGAGCAGCTTGGCGTTCGATCTTTTCATTCAAGCTTCACGCCAGCTGAAACTGCATGGAACCACTTAAAGGGGGTGTACATGGCAAAAGACACAATAACAGCAAGTAAGATTCTTTCGCAGCTGACAAGTGTGCAGATGATGACAAACGAGAATGTCATGGATTACGTCAATCGTGTTCGCACACTACAAGATCAACTGGAGAAGAGTGGAGGATACTTCCCTCGTGAGATGTATCTCATGGTCCTTCTTGCTGGACTTGGTCCCGAGTGGCGACAGACGCGCGCCTTCTTGCGCATGAATCCGAACCTCTCAGAAACCGAAATTTCGTCGTATCTTCAAGCGGAACAGCAAGATCTTGACCTGCAGTCACAACGCAATCAGAAGAAAGGATTACAATTAAGTTTTTACTCAAATCCAGAGCCACAGCAACGACTTCCCCCGAAATATCCCTTCTGCCATTTCTGCAAGAAACCAGGACATACTTACCAAACTTGTCGCAGTCGTTGTCAAAACCGTCGCAGCACTTCGCAACCATATCATCGTTCGCAGCAGTTACCGAAGCCACATCAGCAAATGCAGCAGTCGACGTCCCAGACGCAGCAGATGCCGCAGAGTACACCGCCATCACAGCATCGTCCTCCGGTCTTTGCATCTGCAACATCAGGAAAAGGGGTTTTTGGATGTGTTACAACAGTTGATATTTCAGATACAGATTTCGAGACACAACTTGAAGAAACCACCAGTGCAGAGGGCATTCCCTTACCGCAAGTTTACGCTAACCTTGCTCGAGTCATTTCAGGACCCAATACTTGGTATCTCGACAGCTGTTGCGGTTGGCACATGTGCTCCGCTGAAACAAGCGTCATCACCAACCAGTGTCCTCTTCATCGTCCGATAACAGTCACAGTTGCAAACGGACAAACCATTATGGCAAGATCTATTGGGAGTGTAATACTTGAATCAGTCGACACGGGATATTCCTTACACGTTACCAATGTTCCTATCGTCGCCAGCCTTGGTTTCAATCTTCTCTCCACAGCTCAACTCCTGGCACACAAGATTCGCACACAAGGGAATTGTGATACAATGGATCAGGAGTTATGGCACAGTTTATCAAATACTTACCTCGGTCGCGCTGCTACTCAACATGGAGTATCAGTTCTTCAGTTCACAGCACAGGGCACCTCTGGTGATTCTGAACGCGTCCTTGGTCTCGGTCCCTGGGGTCACCCAGAAGAAACATATTATATACACGTGGATATTGTTTTTCGGGCAACTACTGTACCAACAGCTTCTAGAACTGTAGCTGCCGTTCTTACCGCACTGGATACTTGGGAGTTTAATACCGCCGATGAAGGCGCCAATGCTTGGCGAACCTTCTATAACACCCGTGCAGCCTTCCAAGGAACTCCAGCTCCACTTTGGGGAGAAATCAGTGGACTTGCAGCTGATGAACCCGAAGTCGTCGAGGAAGCCGTGAAAGAAGAAGTCGCCGAGCAGCCGAGTCTTCCAGTAGCTGTCGCAGGACCATCTGCCATCAAACTGTAACATCAAAAGAAGCAGTATCAGAAATTGCAGTCGCAAATACAGCAGACACTTCAAATGTTCAGTTACCCCTTACCCGTTTCGTCGAAGGGGAGATTGACATGTCTCCAGCTCTTTCTCCTTTCATCATTTCTTCATTTTATACTAACGCCGACTTTTATCTGCGATCATCAGGACACAAAGCCACATAAGAAATTTGGCACCAACGGTTAGGACATCCATCGCAAGGGATTTTAAATCATTGAATCCGAGCAGCAGTTCTTGATAAAAACAGTCTTCTCTTACCTGACGGCACGGAGATGAAACCGCAGTCTCGCCCAACGGTCTGCACCACGTGTCCGGTCACCAATCTTACCCACGACCCGTTTTCGAGTCATTTTCCTGGCTCCACTCGTTACAAACTGATGCAGAAGGTCTACAGCGATATTCTTAACTTACCTGAAGCAGGACCTAAAGAAGAGCTGTACGTGATTACCTTCATCGAAGCATCTACTCGATATGTTTGGACAGCAAACCTTCCTGCTCGACATCTCGCCCATTCAGTCTTCGTCGCATGGCTCGCCGTCGCTGAAAGAGAGTCTTGAGCAAAACTGCAAGAATTCCAGAGTGATGGCGCAGGGGAGTACACGAGCAACGCTTTCACAGACTACCTCCAGACACTCGGCATCAAACGGAAGCAGTCACTGCCACATGCACACCAACAGATGGGGGTAGCAGAAAGGATGAATCGGACTCTGCAGGAGAAGATGCGTGCTCTGCTGACGCAGGCAGCCCTTCCTCCTCGCTTTTGGCCGTATGCGATGGACCACGCGGTGCTGTTACACAACCTGCTGTCTTCCACATCACTGCCCGAGTTTTCTTCACCTCACCTGCAGTGGACACGAACAGTGGGAAGTACAAAACTTTTACGAGTTTTTGGGTGTGTCGTGCAGTTTCGTCCTCCAACTGCAGCACTCGGCAAATTTTCCGAACGGGCAAAATGGGGGGTACACCTCGGCATCGAAAAATAGTATCATGCATGGAAGATTTTGGATCTTCGTTCAAACCAAATTGTCCCTTCACGTGATCATCTCTTCTATGAAAGACTCACCTTGCCAGTTTTTCGTGCCCACCAGGCAGCAGCTGCAAACCCTGCCAGGCTGTTCGAAGGCTCGCGTGCATTTGCAACTGACGAAGCCGAAGCTGATGTACAGGACGAGGCGGTTTCTGAAGCTTCCGAAGCTACCGCAACTGACATTCCCGAACCTGTCACGTCAACAGGCATCCCGTAATTTATTCCCCTCGCTGATGTTGACCCGGATGACGTTCCCGAAGTCCACCTCAGCTACGAACGCGATCGCCAACAGCAGCCGATGCCACCCGTCTCCGACGAAGCAGTTCGTGTTACACCTAACGAAATTGGGGGGGGGAGAAGGGTCAGAAGAAAATTTCGCAGGTGCAAACGAAGAACGTCCGCGTTTTACAGAAACTGGCTTACAGATACTTGGATTCGCAGTCGCAGTACAGTACAACGACAGTAAAATATCTTAACCGAAAACCGTTCGACAAGCTCTTACGAGTCCTTACCGCGAAAAATGGCGCAAAGCCATGGACAGAGAGCTAGCAGCTCTCAAGACTCGCGGCACATGGGAGTTAGTACCGACATCAGAAGTAAAAGGGAGGAAGGTACTTGCCGGGAAGTGGGTCTTCCGTGTCAAGACTAATGCAGATGGGTCGTTTGAGAAATTCAAGGCGTGATGGGTCATCCGCGGGTTCGAGCAGACTTACGGCATCGACTACGAGTTAACTTTTGCTCCCGTCGGTCGACATACGAGCGTTCGGATTTTACTCTGTGTCGCCGCCTGCCGCAATCTACGACTTCGACAAATCGACGTGGCAAACGCATTTCTCTACGCACCCGTCGACACACTCATTCTGGTAGAGTACCCACATTCGTATACTACTAACCCACCGAGCGTATGCCGTCTCCGAAATTCGCTATACGGCATTAAACAGGCACCCCGGCTATGCGCAGTACCTACAGTACATTCACAGCTACTCACTGCTGGATTCCGTCAACTACCGCATGACCAGGGGATGTATCTTTTAACTGACAGGAGCAACTATATTTTACTTGTCGCCTACGTCGACGATATTCTCTACGTCAGTACTACCGACTCGCTCGCCAATACCTTCATACTGAAACTACAGAAAAATCTACAGCTTACCGTCTCCGAGACAGTCTCACAGTTTCTCGGTTTAAATATTACCTACTCACCGACGTCTATTCACCTCACCGCTTCGAAGTACGCAGCGACGCTCGCTGCCCGCTTCAACCTCACTCCTTCTACAGTCACTACACCGTACCGATCACTACCGACAGACTACAAACCGAATACTACACCGTTGAGTCTAACCGACCTACAGACCGATCAACAGCAGTTAGGCTGTCTACTCTTCACCGCTGTTACTTGTCGTCCAGATCTAGCGTACGCGGCTAGTCAACTCGCACAGTTCCTACGCCGTCCTGAAGAAGAACACCAACTCGATCTTCTTCGCGCGCTTCAGTATTTCGTCTCGACTCCTGACGTCGGCTTAGTCTACAACGTCGTCGGCTGTAAAACTCTATACCTACACCGTTTCGTCGGCGCCGACCACGCTGCTGATACTACTAATCGGCGCTCGCGTGCTGGATTCATCTACCGCCTTGAACCTATCGGCCCTATTTCTTGGAATTCGATGAAGCAGGAGCGGATTGCTCTCTCCTCTGCTGAAGCTGAATTTATCGCTGTCTGCACAGCAAAACGCGAAGGACTTTACCTGCAGGAGCTCTTGGAAGAAGCAAAGTTGACGACAAGTACTCATATCACTTTACAGTGTGACAACCAGAGTGCAATTCGCATCGCGCATCAACCTGGCTTCGTGAACAGGACGAAACATATTTCACTACGTTATTTTTTCGTCAAGGATGAAGTCGAGAAGGGGAGAATGCGATTGGTCTATTGTTCGACCAACGAAATGGCTGCCGACTTCCTCACGAAGAAGCTGACACGACAGAAGTTTCAGTACTGTAACAAGCTTTGCGGGATCTTCAAGAAGTGACACTGTCGAACTTCCAGAAATGAAGGGGAGTGTTGTGATATAATGCATACTTAGCATTTCTGTAAGTCGATTATCGGTAGATAGTGTCGAATCCTACAGTAGAATATAAGTCCGTAGGATGACGTCAGCAAATAGCACTCGTCATGAGGACAGTCGTTTCAGTCGCGCGAATAGTTGCGTCTCTTCATTATCATTTAGGGCAAATAGTGCGATAGTGACGAACAGGTACATTAGCGAACAAGTACTTTCCTAGAGCTATAAAATCTTGTTATGCCTTTCTATTGTTAACCTTGAGATTTCAACTTTGAGACTTTAAACTTGACTTCAACTGAATTATATACTCAGGTTCATTCTTACAAAGACTTCCGCTGCCTTACTAGTCTACCATTCCAGTAAAGATCCTAGGCTAACACTTGAGGTTTTCCAAGTGTCTGTGTTTGCAGATTCTACACTTACTGTAGTCCCCTGCAACACCTGTCAAATTATTACAGTGCTGAGCAAGAAACACGCAGCTTAGGGTGGCACTACTAGTCCAAACTCTGAGACAGGGGTCCGAAAACCAGTCAGCAAGAGTATAAACAAGACAGGAGCAAAACAGGGCGGCACTACTAGTCCGGCCACTGGAAGAGAAGCCACAAGGCCAGTCTGAAAGGTATATATAAAGAGGAGTACACAATCAAGGTCCTAGCAAGTGAGAATCTACAGGAACTAGACCAAGCTACAAACAGTGCCGCTGATGATCCTTAGGCGCAAGCGCTTTAGTAAAGATATCAGCTATGTTGGCACCAGAGGCCAAGTGTACTACGCAGGCCTGGCGACGCTGTTGTAGCTCGCGCAGGAGGAAGTACCGCAGCTGGATGTGCTTCGCTCTGCCCTCAAGTCGAGGCTCTTGACAAAGGAGGATCATGGTCCTGTTGTCAGCGTTCAGAACCGGGGCAGAGCTAGGCCGCTCACCTAAGTCGGTGAGCAAGAAGGCCAGCCAGCAGAGCTCCTGTGCCGCCATGGCACCGGCGTAGATCTCAGACTCACAGCTAGACTGGGCAACAGACGAGGAGCGAGTGGACCTCCATGAGATGGCACCTGAACCAACGCTAAAGCAGTAGCCCTGAGAGGACCTGAGGGTCTCAGCGTCGTCTGCCCAAGATGCGTCTGTGTGCCCAGTAAGGACCACTGGCCTACGTCCTCCCAGCACTAACCCCGTGCCCGTTGTACTTGCTAGATAACGCAAAACTCTCTTAGCGGGCGACCAGTGCTGTGGTCGGTGTCTGCCTGTGGCCACAAAGCGAGCCATGATGCTGAGAGGGTATGCGAGATCTGGACGAGTGCAAGTCATTAGGTACATGAGGCAACCCACCAGCTCTGCGTAAGGACCAATGGGCTTTATTGACTCCTCTGGAACTGGAGCAGAGAGCCTGTGGTCTACTGGCTGAGGTGTGGGCTGTGCGGAGGAGAGTTGAAGACCGAACCTCTGAAGGACTTGGCGCACCAAGTGTGACTGTGAGAGAGTGATGGTGCACGCTGCTCTGTCCCTGGAGATCTGCAGACCAAGGTAGCGGCGCAGCTCTCCTAGGTCAGCGCAGGTGTGTCTCCTCAGCAGCTCGGCCTTCACAGAGACTAGTGCGTCTCTGTCTGCAGTAGCGAAGACCAGGTCGTCTACGTAGACAAGGATGTAGAACGGAGTCTGGCCAGCACGAACGAAGAGCGAGGGGTCTGCAGAGGACGGAAAGAACTGCACGTCAGCTAGCGTAGCACGCAGCATGTCGTGCCACTCACAGGGCGCCTGACGTAGGCCGTAGACCGGGTGCCGGAGAAGCCACTGCGTCCTAGGAGGGATGGTACCGGTGAAGCCGTGTAGACGGCGCAGGTAGACCTGCTCGTGTAGACTGCCCTGGAGAAACGCTGTGGAGAAGTCGAGGGAGTGTAACTCGTAGTCATGCTGTGCGATTACGTGCAGCAGCGCCCGAAGAGTAGTCGTCTTCGGGGTCGGGGCGAAGGTCTGAAAGAAGTCCACCCCCTCACGCTGACTGAAGCCTCTAGCCACGTAGCGTGCCTTGAATACAGGCGGCTCTCCAGGGGGGCGCTTCACTTTGAAGAGCCACCGGCCATCGACCACGTTCACCCCAGGTGGGGGAACTGCGTCGACGTTGGTGCCGGTGGATCTCCAATATGACATCTCCTGCTCCATGGCAGCTATCCACTGAGAGGCCCACGGTCCCGAGGTGGCCTCAGCGTAAGTGCGAGGGGTCGGGATGTCAAAGGCGTCAGGGTCACCCTCATGGACTAGCAGCATGGAACAGAGATGGGGAGCAGCCTCAGACAGGAAAGCAAGCTCGTACTGCCTATCCTCTAGGACGTCACTGCCAAGGGCATGCGCACCCCCAAGGGATAGAGGGCAGACACGGTCAGAGACCAGAGCGGTGGCGTATTCAAGGTGGCGGATAGAGGCGAAGTCAGCGATAGCAGCGACAAGAGCGTCACGACTGGAGACAAGAACCGACGGGTCGGTAACGAGGAATGCAAGGACCCGAGGAACAAAAGGACGAGCAGCACCAAGGTAGTTAGAGAGAGGGGGAGGCGCGACAGCGAGCGACGACGGAGGAGGCGAAGGCAGGAGGGGAGGACGAAACGCGTAGGAACGAAGCAACATAGGGTGAGAACGCTGAACAGGAGATACAGGACGAGCACGAGAGGGACGGCGAGACCAGACGTGAGACGAAGGCATCTGGTTAGGAGACAGAGGAGGAGACACAAGGGAGGAACGAGGGGGAAGACGAGCCGGAGACGAGTTCGGTGGAGGGAACACAGGGCCTTAGACAGGAAGAGGAGGAGGTGGCGGGGGAGGCGCAAGCGAGCGGTCAGGGGAGGGAAGGCCGAGCAGGCAAAGGGCGGACACCGGCGGCGACTGCTGCTGCTGCTACTGCTCGACGCCGACACCTGGACCGCCAGCTGCACCACGGCCACCGCCGGAACACACCACGCCAGCACCCCCAAAAACGCCCACCCTAAGAGCGAGAACTCTCTCCAGCACCGGTGCCACCCCTATGCCCACCGGGACAAGCCACGA